GTATTTGGCCTTGAATCGCCCTGTAACCTAGTTTTAGGTTTTTGAAAATTTGTCAAAAAACTCAAACTTGATAATGGACTTCTGGCGCAGCTTTGTGGTCCTTTTGAATAGGGTTTGCATCAGTACTTATGTGTGAATGATTTGGGTCAAAGAAAACAAATCAAAACCTTTGCATTCATGATTTTCAAGATTTGATTCTTAAGGATCTTTTTTCAATATTTCTTCATGAAGAATCATGTCAATTTGCTCCAATTCTTTCCTTTTTTGGTATGCACGAAATCCTTAGTGAATCATGAGTGATTGTCTTGCACAAAAAGATTTGAAAACCTAGTTTTGATATTTTTCATATATTTTAATTAATTAAATGAATTATTAGCAATTAAAATTCAAATAAATAAAATAAAAATGATGAAAAACTTCCCTTTGGGCCAAATGGTCGTGCACATGCCTTGGATGATGAATCTTGGAAGAAAAAGAGGCCCATTAGCATTTTTAAGACATTTGAAGCAATGTTGACTTTTCAAGATATCCAAAAATTTCCCAACTTCCACAAGGCATAACTTGCTCAATTTTTAAGCTTTGCTCATGTTCTTGGACATTTTGGAAAGGTATTTGAGTCCTCTAACCAATGTCTTTGGTCCCATGTCATTTGGATTTACCAATCTCAAGTTATGGCCTTTGACTTAAAGTCCCTTTTTGTTGACTTTTGAAAATGACCTATAATGTTGAAATTGATAACTTTTTGTGAGAGCATTTCTTGGACTTGAAGTGTGAAGAGGAGTTGTAGGAAATGTATTTCTCTTCAAAATGAGCTTTGGATGGAATTTTTCTGATAATCCATGTGAAAGTTATGCCTTGGTCAAGTTACAGTTGACTTTTCAAATGTCCAAATATGGAAACTTTTGCATCTTGAGACTTTTTGAGCCAAGCTTTGAGAATCATGATCAAGCATTGATCAAATTATGTTTGTGGCTTCAAAATGAGATGTTGACCAAAAATTTGAACTTTTGACTGTCAAATGACCATTTTGCCCCTACAGTTGACTGTAGTGCAATTAGGGTTTTTGACTGTGCAATTTTGGGCTGTAAGTCTTGAAACTTGGTATGAGGATGTTTGACCATATTTGTAGGCATGTGGGACTTGATTGGGCCCTTGGAAACTTCATTTACTTTGTCAGAACCAAAACCCTAGTTTTTGACTGCTAGGAGGCCCTTGAACTGTGCAACCCTTGGGGAATTTCTGAAGCTTTGACTTGCAATTCTTGAAGAATATGGGAGGGCAAATTTTGGGGTACAACAGTTGTCAACTTAAACTACTATCTTAAATAATATCAAACAGATAACTAATTGAAAATCCAACAATTTGTGATGAACTTAGTCGTAAGAAACCGTCTTTTAGTTACATGCTTGTCATGTTCAATGCATCTTCAGTTTCAACAATGGAATCCAAATATTACATTTCAACTAATATACTAACAAACATATAACAAATTGAAACTTCAACTATTACATTTCATAACAAAGTAAACATTAAACATAAAGGAGACAAGAAAACATAACATCTTCAAATTTCCAGATAATCTCTCCGATTTCAATTTGTTCTACAAATTCTTGTTCTTCTTCTTTGAGTCTTCATACATAACCTTTAAAATAGACATCTCCAACTCTGACTTCATAATACTATCATCTTCATTTCCATCTTTATCTCCCATGTCTTCATCCCATATGAACAAATTACAGGTTTCATCACTCCTCCAAAATGGACATCTCCAAAAAAGCTTTCCTTTATTTTTTCCCTTCTTGTATTGGTACGAAACCATACGACCATCACAACCACAAAACTTTCCAGATCAATATTTTACAGAAGAAGAAGACATAGAAACACTTAGGATAACTATGTCTTCAAATGCGACATTGAAAGGAAACTAAACAACAACAACATATTTTATGTACCGTATAGGAGAGTACTATGTCGATGTTGTTGTCTTCCTTCTCGGTGATGACGACGACGTTGGTGTTAGGGTTGTTTCGTCTTGTTTCTTTTTCAGTGGAAAATGGATACTTATAATGCTTAAAATATATAAAGAAGTGCATGTATGTAACAAAGGTTTTAGAAAACAACCGTAGTGATATCACTGTTAATTTTTAAATAAAAATGAAAGGGCGCTCATTAACGTCAAACAATAAACTATTTGACAGCGATAATGTTCGAACCCATGAAATCTTCATTGGATCAACCACAATTCTAACACCAACCTTTATTATACCATTTAAAATTTTAATTAAAAAATATAAAACTAATGTTAGCGCTAGAGTTTAGACATGTCACCCCAGTTTTTGGGAAAACAATGATGACTTTGGCGTTGTTATATGCGCGTTTTGTACTAGTTATTTTAGCTTGTTTGAACTCATTAGTTCCCTCATAGATAACTTGTAGAGTGTCCCACATAGCCTTAGCGGTTTCACAATGGGAAATGCGATAAAACTCATCAACACCAAGAGCGGATATGATAATGTTTTTCGCTTTCCAATCATGTACCCACTTCTTATCATCTTCCTTATTCCATAGTGATTCCGACTTATGTATGACAACACCATCAACAACATGTGTTATTAGTGTTGGACCATTTTGAATGGCCTCCCACACACTTTTATCATATGAGTTAACATGAATTTGCATACAAGCTTTCCAATAACTATAGTTTTCTCCCATAAAGATTAAGGCTCTTTTATAATCCCCTTTAGGTTCGTACGCTATTTTCTAATAAGATTTTTGAAGCATGAAATTAACCAGAGCTCTTGATGCCACTTGCTAGACGATGGTGAATTATATAGAGGGGAAGTGAATAGATCACCAAGTCAAAATAACAATTAAAATGGGAGTTTTAGAAAGTTAATTAAAAAGAGTGCAAGCGAAAGGTTTTTATATAGATCGATTAAAGTCGTCTATACGAACCTAGTTATTAGAACTCGAATATGAAATTAAGCATTATAAAATGAACAACACAATAATATGAATTTATACACTTGAAATAAGTGACACAATATTATTCGTTTATAACAAGTTACTAGTGTCATACCCCAAAATTTTCCTACCCTTTAATAAAATCATATGGATTATGCATCTCACGATCATCATCTACATATCCTCCATTAGGTCACCTAACATTCTTACATCATGCATCATTAAACAATAAGAATTTAGCACGAGATTAAGGACCTTGCAAGCTAAGGTTTCACAATAGTTTGAGGTGTATATACCAAATAAGATTGATTTCATTTGGTTCTTTCTCAGAGTAGTGGACTGTGAAATCAGGGTTCTGGTTCAGGGTTATTGTAGATTTCTTCTTCATTGAATATTCATCCAGAGTAAAGTGCATTAGGTTTTCATTTGGACGTGCTTAAAGGTTCATCTTTTCTTTAAGTGGAGATTTCTACAAGCTACTGTTTTGTTTATCCTCAGTACATCGAGATGTTCCTTCATTCCATGTGCATTGAAAGCAAATGATCATGTTTGTTAGTATTCACCAATTGAAGGTCACTGGTTTTCATGTCAAGGCGTTCTTATATGTTTTGAGTCTTATCACCATCTTTAAGGATACCTTATGTGTTAAGGTCATCTATTGAGGAAGAGTTTTATCATAACAAGATGTGCATTGAGACCTCATTTGAGGAACTACCTCTCATTAGTCCATGTGTTCATCCTATTACTTGAGATACATGGTGTAATATTTGGTTCTTGGGCAAGAAAAGAAGAATATGAGTTTATTTGTCCACCATTCATCAGACAAGGATTGGTTCATGATTATTACTTATGTGGAAAGTCACTGTTTTAGGGTTCATTCAAAGATCTTGGAGTTTTATATTGAGTTTTTGGAATCATTTCTAAGTTGGAAGTCATTTTCTAAAGAGCTTGGAATGTTATCAAGCTCGGCCCACATCCTTTGTATTTTATCTCTTAGGAGAATTTGTCAAGCCACATGTAAAGTAAGTCCAACCAAACTTGCACCTCCAACATCAAAAGGATGACTCATCTTGGTCACTTTGTTGCTGAGTCAAAGCCTAGAGACGTATGACCAAACTTGTAGGCAATATAACCAATCTCTTGACCAATTCCTCAATTAAACGACATCGTCTGTAAATACCTAATCAAGTAACTAGATAAGATTCATTCACCTTTTACAAATCAATATCCCAAAGGTCTCTTGCGCTCCATATATCGCAGGAAAAACGTTATTTGTCATACTCTCCACAAGTATAGGAAGAAAATATGGTAGACCAAAGGTCACAAATATCCCTCATTTTCAAGTATACATAAAATGAGAAGCATTTTTACCATCTTTTTTCTTAAATACAATACATTTTATATTAATAAATAATATGGTATACACCACATTTTTCCACACATCTAAAAGATGTGGTATGCTAAAATGTTTTTTTAGTTTCAACAATGAAGATATTACACTTTTGATGATGAGCGACTCTTTAGTATAGTCAAAATTATACTTTTAATCTATTATCTATTATAAATATATAAACTTTAAAGTATTAGTTTATTACACTATGACCCTTTTGATTAAAAGCTTTAATTTGATTAATTTTAAAGGTAAAATTGTCTTATCAACCACTAAATCTCTTTATATTGATTTGGTATTAAATGCAGTTGAGTTGGTACACCCATATTTTTTATTGACATTTTATAATTATTTTATTTTTTGCAACCTACATTATAATACCCTAATTATTTAATATACTAATTGAAACAATGCCTTGAGTTATCTCTCTATAGCCCTACATAACACTTGCAATTTCAATGCAAAACAATTGATGTGCAGCTACCATATACATCACAACTTCCAACATGGAAAAACATAAATCCTTTCAACTTTTGCTATTTTCCAACGATACCATAAATATACGATTTTGTTTCTCTTCAAACTTTAAGCCATTCTTTCTCCAATCTTTTACTTGATTATCCCTCTTTCTCCACCACTTCTATTGATGACCGTAAAATGGTTCAGAGTTTTCTTAGCTAAAATGGTTCAGAGTTTCATTAAAGAGAGTAACGATAAGAAAACACCAATGTCTGAATTTACTCGCAACAATTGCAATTGCTTTAACGGAAACAGTAACGATAGCTCCGATGAAGAACTTGGTTTCTTCGGTGAATCTATCACTTCTAGTTTTATCAATGATGCCAGTGACACGCTCAAGGTTTCTTCAAGAACTCTAACTTTATAGATTTACTTTATCTTCAAGTAATTTCTTATATTTTTTGTTTTTATTTGTAGAGTTTAATTCCACGTGCGAGTGTTATGGAGAGAAATCTGTTAGCTGATACATCAAAAATAGTTGACAAGAACAACAAAGTTTTCAAGCGATAAAATGATTTGAGAAAGATAGTTGCAGAAAATATTTCTTCTCTAGGTTATGATTCCTCCATATTCCATTCTAAATGGGAAAAATACTCTCTCACCCTAGAGGTACAATTTTATGCCTAAATTTTTTTTATTATGAAACTGGAAATTATTTTTAATTGTAAACGAATAATTGAATGTAGTGGTTTTGATTTTTTGATTTTCTGATTCAGGTGAATATGAATACATTGATGTCATTGTGGAAGGTGAGAGGTTGATTATTGATACTGATTTTTGATCGGAGTTTGAGATTACGAGATTAACAGGAATACTCAAGGATCGCGGTGGCTGCTCTGGAGGGGATCAATCGCAGTTTGATCAAAATCTGAAGGGTGGCGCGTTTAGGTAGAAGCTCTTGGTGGCGTCGAAGTTCGTTAGAGGTGCAGTTTGGATTTATTCCACGGTGGTGGTTCCAACTGATAAAACGATGCAGGTCTGGATGCAAGGATATTTTACTGTAGAATGATTTTACTTCATTTGATTCCTTTCATTTTTATTTGAATGATGGACAAGTTATTGATGGGGATAAAAGTGAGAAGACTATATTTGAATAATGGGCTGCATTTTCTTGCAGGTCTAAAAGCGAAAAGAAGATTATTTTTAAAGGGATATTTTGTTTCTGTCGGTGTCAGAGCTGCTCCTTAACCTTCCAAATCCCAGTTTCGTTTTCATCATCCAGTTCCTAGAATTTTCTAATTGAAGGGTTGACTTTCAATTGAAATTTGATTTTGTAGCTATCAAATGATTTTGAAACCATTTATTAGTGTTTGTCTAGGTGAAGAGACCATATCATATCCAATGACAAAAAATTTCAGTCGGAGCAAGTTCGACTTATTGAATATAATATATTTTACAAGTTTTTCTCGCTTATACCCAAAGTTTTTGGTTAGTGAAGAAGAATTGAACTCGACAAGGCTAATATTTGTTTTTGTGGATAAATGTTTGGTTTGGTGAATAGGTCCATCTATTGGAGAAGAGCTTTGAAGAAGACAACAAACATTGGGTGATAAGAAACAAATGTCTCTGTAATTGGAGAAATAGTATAATCCAACCGCGATTGAGCAATCGTGTGTGATGGTTTAGTTTTTGTGGTTGTTAGTTTGTTGTTAGCCTTTAATTATATGAAATGATTATATTTTATGTTTTGTACTATTAGGTGGTATGATTGGTGGGAGAAATCCAAGTATTTTGTGGCAGATGCTAGCAACACCAAACCACCTTTTGATATTGTAAGTGTCTTCTTGAGCTTTGCTATGATGCCATGTGAAGTTAATGTTGATTCAATTTTGCTACCCGAGTAAAAAAATTCAATTTATGGTGTCATGCGATCTTTTGTTGTATAGGGAAAGTAATCCTTAATAAAAATGAAAATGTGTTAGTCATTATGAAACAAGTTCTCTGCATATTGTGGCCAAGTTTTTACTAATTATTCATTTTGGCTTTTAGGTGGTTCTCAATGTGGTGCAGGCTTATTTCCTGATGTCGACAGTACTTGGAAAGTAAGTATAATCATTTTATGTTATGCTACCTTACTGTTGATGTTATCATATAAGCATTAATTACATGACTTTTCAAATGGTTCGAATTACATTTAAGTGATTTTTTGTCAATCGTAATTAGTTCATCTTAAATTGATGTCAAATGGTTCTATAGAGTGTTAATTTTACCTTAATTTTGCTTGGTATTATTCTTTCATGATGAAGATGAGGAACTCTTTTTATGCACCAAGTTAATAATTCACCTGGTGTGACATGAAACACTTCCATAAATGTCATACGAGTTCACTTTTCATCTGATTGGCTCTGACTTTGTTTGCTTTTTGAAATCTAAGGAAAACATCTTTGTTTAGTTTAGGCTCTTCTTTCTAGAATGATAGCCACCTTTACTAATTGAGTTTTTCTCAAGTTACTTCCTTTGTGATAGGTTGCGCGGCTGCAATTCAGAAGACAACACATTTTGTTGGCTGCAATCTAAGAATTAAAGTCAAAGGGAAACAACTCTCCTATAATTGAAAACAAGGTCATTGTCACATAAGTATTTATATTGAAAATGCAGCAGTGGAGATTCTTTAACATAGTTTAAGATCTTATTATTTTTGTGTCATATATCTAACCATCATATTTAGCATTTGGTTTCTATTGTAATGTTTTGGTTTCAAGTTGTGTATCCTATCATCTGTTGTGATGGGTTTAATATGTCTAATGGTCTTGGTTTCATCAGCATTTGTAACATTGGTGTTCTTTGGTTTTATTCACTTATGTTATAGTGAGGCTTTTTAGCACTGGTTACAGCAGGAAACAACATCGTTTTTCTTTGGTTCTTGGTTAACTTTGTGGCCTTTTCTATTTTAGAAAATCAACAAGACCAAAGTGGTGTTCTCAGGAGATATTGTTCCGTAGAGAGAACAGATCTTACTGATTGTGAATCATAGAACGGAATTTGATCAGATGTATTTATGGGACCTTGCATTGCGAGAGGGATGCATTGGATACATTAAGTATGTACTTAAAAGCAGCTTGATGAAACTTCTGATTTTCGGTTGGGCATTTCATATATTAGAGTTCATCCCGGTGGAAAGGAAGTGGGGAGTTGATGAGTCGACTATGCATCAAATGCTTTCTATATTCAAGGACCCGCAAGATCCTCTATGGCTTGTTATTTTCCGCGGGGGCACTCATTTTACGTAAGAAGCTGATGGTGATTTTGTAGCTCAGCTCTCTTCATCCTCAGTTTGAATTAGCATAACATATGTAACTTTGTCAATTTGTGTCTTCTTTTGATGATTTTTTTGCCATCTATCTTTTTTTCTCTTGTTAGTGAACAGAAGTGCATTCGAAGTCAAAAATATGATGCCGAACAATTGAAGTAATCTTCATGTGAGCTCCACAAATAATCTATTATTAGCCTAATATAAGGATAACATGATTCTCTTTAAATGTTTAATACTATTTCTTATCCACTAAGTTTTATGTTTTACCATTTTATAACCAGTTCTTAAATAGCTTAATACGTTGACCCTATCAAAATTATGGTTTGCAGGGTGTGACTTATGCCAAAAACTGACACAGAAGGGTTGCACAATTGTTTTATTACCCACAAACCTCTTTCAATAAGAGAATGAAGTCCATTGCACTAAGCACTCCAACAAACTGACTCTTGCACTAATCTCATAGAGGAGCCATAGGTACATCCTGAAAGAAGGTAGTATTAAATACACAAACAAGCATGGGTGTGTGTCCTGATGCAAAGGGAAAAAATCTTAAAAAGGAGGAAAATACCTGCTCATATGTACAATCTAAAATAATTTAAAGAGAGTCGTGTTATCTTTAGATTAGACTACTTTCACACTGTGCCAGTGAGGTTTGCATTTGGTGCACGTTTGATGTCCTGCTATTGCTACTACAAAAACAAACAGGCCAACACCAAAAGGAAGTTGGCAACAAATATGTTTCCTGCTACTTCTTTGTTCAAAATCATTCCTTTTCCATCTATTTAAAATTGATAGAGTTTAAAAATCATAATAATAATGAGTTATAATTAGTTGACATGATACTTTGTTATGATATCATATAACTTTGTTTTGAGACATGTCTAAAATATTTTTTAAATATAGAGTTGATATCGAGATATTAGGTTAATGATTTAAAATATATTTTTGGTAAAATAAAAATCGATAATTATATTTTCACTAATATTTAAAAAGTCAAATTATTTTTTAAAATTTTAATAAGTTTTATTGTAAAGACTATTATATTGTTAAATTTATAGTTATATAAACATGCTTTTAAAACTTTTATTTGTATGATATATTTAATCAATTTTATTTATTTATCATCACTTGAAATACTAAATAACAGGAAAAATATTAAGTTATAAATATTTTTATAAACAAGAATAAGTCATCAATTTTTTTATAAATCGAAAGCTGTTATAAATTTTAAGTTTGGAAAAATTGACTAATATTTAAAAATAATGTTATTTGAATTGAAAAAATAATTTTATTCTTTTATGTAATTTTAAAATTAACTCATCTGGATTCAACTGAGTTTTGTTAACTTATCTGGGTTTAACTGAGTTTTGTTAACTCATCTGAATTCACGGATAAATGTGAACGTATCTATGACATATCAGTTGTAGATTATTCATTTTAATCTTTTAAAAAAAAATCTGCTATTTTATATAATTTAAGTTAGAGAGTCGAATGTTCGATTTATTATAAGTACAAACAATACTTAAAAATTGATGTAAATTATTAGTCTATATTTGTGATTATATGAATCTTAACCAATTAAAAAATAAATTTAAATTTTATTAATAATAATTAAAAAAACGTGTAATATAAATACAAACTAGCCTCATGCAATTTCGAATTTCTTACTAATTATTTATAAATTTCTCTACAATATTCACATTTATAATTCTTTTTTAACGTTAAAATTTTTTCTGTATTTTTGGGATAAATGAAGTGCAAAATGAAAGAAAAATGTACAGCATGTTGATCATAGCAAGGATTGTGCTTCGTCTTCAACGGAAAAACTGGAGGTCCCTCACCTATCACCGCCACCACCACAGCCATGAACATAATAATCAACCACTTCCACTCCCTCCTACATTCTACCTCTCCCATATCTGCAGAAACCTCGACACCCTCAAGAAGCTCCACGCTTCCCTCCTTATCCACGGCTTTCCCCTCGACACCAATCTCATCTCCCTCTACGCCTCCTTCGGCTCCCTCCGCCATGCCCGAACTCTCTTCCACCGTTTACCCTCTCCAAACCTCCACTCTTTCAAACTCATCATCCGTTGGCATTTCCTCAACGACGACCACTCACATGTCGTTTCTTTCTACCACCTCGCTAGACTAACTCTCGGCCTTTTCAACGACCTCGTGGTTTTCTCCATCCTCCTCAAAACTTCTTCCCATTTACGCGACCTCGTTCTCACCACACGACTCCACTGTCACATTCTCAAAGCAAAACCTCCTGATAGCTTTGTACTCACCAGTCTAGTTGATGCTTATTCTAAATGTGGAAAACTTTATTATGCGCGTAAGGTGTTTGATGAAATACCTGACCAAAATGTTGTGTCGTGGACTTCGATGATTGTTGCTTATGTACAAAATGACTGCGTTGAAGAAGGGTTGATGTTGTTTAATAGAATGAGGGAAGGGTTTGTTGATGGGAATGTGTTTACTGTTGGAAGTTTGGTTACTGCCTGTACTAAATTGGGGTGTTTGCATCAGGGGAAATGGGTTCATGGATATGCTGTTAAGAATGGGGTTAGGATTAATTCCTTTTTGGCTACTTCTCTTTTGAATATGTATGTTAAATGGGGTGACATTGGAGATGCTCGTTCCGTGTTTGATGAATTTTTAGTTTCAAGTTTTAGTAGTGAGGATATTGTTTTCTGGACTGCTATGATTGTTGGGTATACTCAGAGAGGTTATCCTCGAGCTGCGTTGGAATTGTTTACTGATGAGAAATGGTATGGGATTTTGCCGAATTCTGTTACGCTTGCGAGTTTGCTCTCTGCTTGTGCTCAACTGGAAAATATTGTTTTGGGAAAGTTATTTCATGTTCTGGTAGTTAAGTATGGATTGGATGATACTTCGGTGAGAAATGCTCTTGTTGATATGTACGCAAAGTGTGGACACATTTTTGATGCGCGTTATGTGTTTGAAACTTCGGTAGATAAGGACGTTGTCTCTTGGAACTCGGTTATTTCTGGTTATGCACAGAGTGGTTCTGCATATGAGGCTCTTGATCTCTTCAACAGGATGAGATCAGAGTTGTTTTCGTCGGATGCGGTTACGGTTGTCGGTGTTCTCTCGGCTTGTGCTTCCGTTGGTGGTCATCAAGTTGGTTCATCACTTCATGCTTTTTCCTTCAAGTATGGTTTGGTATCTTCTAGCATCTATGTTGGCACTGCATTGCTCAACTTTTATGCAAAATGTGGAGATGCAAAGTCAGCTCGCATGGTGTTTGATGAGATGGGAGAGAAGAATGCTGTGACCTGGGGTGCAATGATTGGTGGGTGTGGCATGCAAGGTGATGGAGTGGGATCTCTTGCTCTCTTTAAGGATATGTTGAAAGAGGAACTTGTGCCTAATGAAGTGGTTTTCACAACTTTATTAGCGGCTTGCAGCCATTCAGGGATGGTTGGAGAAGGATTGAGGTTATTTGATTTTATGTGCAGGGAGTTAAACTTTGTTCCTTCCATGAAGCACTATGCATGTATGGTTGATCTGTTGGCACGTGCTGGTAACCTCCAAGAGGCATTGAATTTTATCGACAACATGCCTGTTCAACCCAGTGTTGGTGTGTTTGGAGCTTTTCTTCATGGTTGTGGACTTCATTCCAATTTTGAGTTAGGAGAAGTGGCAATTAGGAGAATGTTGGAGTTGCATCCTGATCAAGCTTGTTATTACGTGCTCATCTCAAACCTGTATGCTTTGGATGGAAGATGGGGCATGGTCAAGCAGGTGAGAAAGATGATAAAGCAAAGAGGATTGAACAAGGACCCTGGTGTTAGTTTAGTGGAGATGGATGTCAACAATGGTACATATGCAAATGTTGCGGTTTGATCTTACTGCCTTTGTGATCGTTAAGCAAAACTACATGCTTAACAAGTGGCTGGATTAGTTTCATGATCACCCTGCCAGAGATGTGAAAGTTCTGAAAACGAGTCTTGTGAAACTGAAGGTAACTGTTTGAACATAAGACTCAAGGTGCATGGCAGGAGCTGATGGGTTTGAGGAGATAAGGTGATCAAAAGGTCGGCATGAAGTTGATAAATGACCTTGCTGTAGAAGCAAGGCTGTCTAGCTCGAAAGCCTAGGTAAACTCATGGAGCATTGTAGTCTCGACTCTAGGACATGACGGTACGAGTTTACTAGATGCAAAGCCAAAAGTATATTGATATGGTCATGCTCAACAAATACTGGTTTCTACAATAATAGTGGATTTTCATGATTTAAAAAAAGCTAGTTCAAGTGAGCTCTTTCTGCTGAAAACTCCAAACCATAGGTAGCATGGGCGTTAGAGCAAAATAACAAGCTCTTTCTGATGAAACGTGCTGCTTCTCAAATGCGATAATGATTCTTCTGAGAAAATTCCCTCGGCGTGTTTACATTTAGACGCCTACCTCTAGGAGTTTTCTTTGTATACGTTGTAAAATAGTTATGTATTGGCACGGTGCCAAGCTATCTGGCATTATCTTCTGCGTTTTTTCGTATTTTACTTGGAAACATACTATAACTGACTATTTGTCTTTACTGTTATAGTTTGTTCTGTCGTACTGTGTCTGAAATGACTAGGGAGAAGAATGTCTTTATTTATTAAAGTTATTTTAGTGCAATTTACTTTGATACACCTGTTGTTTATTCACCATCATATACTCAACCCTACTTAGTTGAGAAAGACTTTTGATAGTTGTTTTGTCTTTTAGAACTCGTACCCTTTTCCACCATGATTCTTTTGTTCAGAATGTTTTGCTAGCAGCCAGAAAAAACCAAAAAGGTGGCAACTAGTGCAAGAGTTAATCACTTTGATGTTTAATTGACCCATAAACCAAAAAGTCTCCTTATTTTAAAGACCGAGACATTTTTGCGTCTATTGGACAGTGAATAAAAGATTGAGATTACTCAACAGCGTGTAGGGACCATGTGAGTGAATACAATTTTGTTTACTTAGACTATCTACAATAACAAAATTATTACACCCATTTTTTCTATTTTTTATACTCCATATCATCTTCTCTTTCTTCTACCTAATAATTCAATACTCATTCAATTTTTACTCACTACAATAATTTTGTTTAATAAAATTCAACACCTTATCCCACCACTTTTATTTCATATTTTTATTTTCTTTTTTATGTTTTTGTTTTTTTGATTATAAGAGAGTTATTGTTGGAATTCATTTGACTAAAAAATTGTTTAGCGCTACAAACAATAATTTATTGGAGGCTAAATAGAAAAATTAGATAGAAAAAGTAAAATTTTTTCTTTCTCCAAATCAAATGAACCAAGGCTTTATTATAGACAAAAAAAAAATGATGAATTTTGGTGAAAATAAAAAAAAATAAAAAATTGATTTTCTATAAAATAATTGACTCCAAATAATTTAGGTGAGATATAAATATAAACAATCACAACAACCAATTATATTTTACAAAGTATTATAAGTGGTCCCATTTATTTCTCATTCGACATGTTGAATGTTTTTAACACAAATTAATCCATGTCACATTCAACACCTTATTCAACAATCTATTAGAGCAATTCAACTATTGAAAAATTTATTCAATACCCCATTACAAATAATCTTATATGGCAATAACTTTCCATGATGTATATTCTCTTTAAAATCCTCATTTTAGGGAGACATAAACTTAGCCTCCATTTTAAATTTGATTTTAGTCCCAAGCTTCTGAATTATTTCCCCACAAAGTTTTTTTTTATGTCAGTTTTTTATTAATCATATATAATTATATTTAATGACATCACTATTGAATTAGGGGAGATTAAAAGACTTTTAAGTAAAACTGTGTGTTCGAGTAATACAGTGAAAGATGAATTATATAGAAAAAAAATACATATTTCAATATTAATTACATAGATATCATATTCTATTCTAGAATGCACTAATGAATATTCTAGAAAATATTCTCTTTATATATATATATATCAACACTCCCTCAAGCTTGAGCATATAAGTCAAATGCACCAAACTTGCTACATATATAATTGATTTTGGGGCTTCGAAGAAATTTTGTATACACATCTGTCAATTGATCATTCGAGTTGACAAAGTTTGTGGCGATGTCGCCTGACTCGATCTTCTCTTTGACAAAACGATAGTCTATCTCAATATGTTTGGTCTTCTCATGGAAGACCGGATTTGAAGTAATGTGTAATGCAACTTGATTATCATAAATAAGTGTCATTGGTCTTGCTTCTTCAATTTGAAGTTCCTTGAGCAAATGTTTTAACCAAATAAGTTCACATGTTGCCATCGCCATGACCTTATATTCTTCCTCGACGCTTGATCTTACAACTACATTTTGTTTCTTGCCTTTTCAGGATATAAGATTTCCTCAAACAAGTACACAATACTCATAGGTGGATCATCTATCAATGGGTGACCCTGCCTATCACATTGTGTATGCGAAAATGTAGCAGTAAAAATTTGAGTTTAAGCCATTAATTAACTTAACTCATATCAGTGAAAGTCGCCACCGCACTTTATTGTTTCCAAATAGAAATGGGAAAAAAGCGAACAAAATCCAAAATAAAATAGAGATCAAGGTACGAGGGTCGGTTATGCAAAGGGAAGATATTAGCACCATAAACATCTACGGTACTCTGCAGGATCCACTTTGTTTGTTCTAAATCGACGAGTGTGTTATCTAAAGCTTAAACTTGCTAAATATAATGAATGAGTGAATATTTACAATCAAAAGAAAATGTTTTTTATTATTGCATTTGTCGCGGTTGCAAACCTTTGTGCCTACGTACCCCCTTTGTGCAATAAGGGATCAAGCACTCGTAGTTCTTCTAAAAAAACAAAATTGTGTGTGCTGATTGATTTTAAATGAAGAGACAAATCATCATTTTTAATGAGAAGACTCGTCTAATCGCCCACAAAGTATGAGAAAGAAAGAGAGAGACTACACACTAACACGAGGGAGGATTTGAGAACACCTGTAGTACTCAAGTGGAAAAGTCGACAACCATGAGAATAGAGGAATAACATCTCGATTAAAAATGAATCATGTCTAATCTTAAAAAAAGTTTTAAACGAAAAAGGTGCTCGAGCGCACAAGAAGGTTTGAATGAGTTGAAATATTTTGTTAGTTTGAAAAATGATTTGTGATTTGAACCACACAAAAGACTATGAATGGAATGAAGGACAAACTTTGGGAATAGACCACTCATCCTTCTCCACTTCTTAAGGCTCATGGAAGTGTGATTCTCATCATTATTTATTAAGTATTTTGAGAAGTTTGAAGAAGAAAAGAAGTTTGAAAAGTCACTCGACATAGTCGAAATTTAGTATGAAAGCGGTTAAAGTTTGAAAATAAAGAAGTTTTGAAAAAAAGATGAGAAGATTTTGAAAATTGAAGAAGAATGAGCTAGGAGATGAAGAGACTATCCTAAAAGCAGAAAGGTAAAAGGTAAAGGTAAGGAAGATCTGACCGAATGGAAGCTCATACTTGATATAAATAAATCAATATAACATTCATATCCCTTTGAATTTAAATCGCAGACAAACTTCATCAAAGAAACCCAAGACCTTAGATAAAACTCAAAACATCGGATAAAGCGCATCAAGTGAAAATAAATCACAAGCCAAAAAATGCATCAGGTAAGCTCAAGATATCAGATAAAGCGTAAAGCATCGGATAAGGTTCGAGATATCAGATAAGAGCCCCCGCATCACATAAGACACAAACAAATCCAACAACGCAGAGAAAATAACCCAAAGTCCTAAATAAGTGATCCATATGATTCTTAGAGTAGCAGATGAAAATACAAGAATAAAGCGCGAGATCAGAATAAAATAAATTAAAAACCACAAAATAAATAGATCAACGAAATCTATACATTCATACACATTCAAGAGCTAAATTAGAATTAACTTTAAAATCACAATTATTTAATAATATATAATAAGCAACATTACTTAAATATATTCACAAAAATTGAAAAAAAACAAACAAAATATAATCAATCCATGAAGTGGCACATGTTCTGTAATTAATTAAAAGTAAGAAAACATTAATTAATCTCTACTCTCTAATTAAAAAATAGAACAATTTTAAATTTTAAAGTAAAAGAAAAGTTAAAATAAACTGAGTTAGCTAGTTGGCAGATTTATGAAGGAAGTATTTGAACAGAGGAAGGAGTATGCGGTGGGACGAGGCTTGTCACGGTGATGTTGAGGTTGCTGTTCGAAATGGAGAAATGGAGGGTTTGTTCTGTGTGAGCTGATACGCGGAAGTTTGTTGGTATGGCAGAAGGCACCGGGTGTGAGCTTGATAGCAATTGAGTCTGGTGGTAGTCCGCGTGGAACAGTGAGCAGAGAAGGGTGATTTACGGTGGTTGGGAGATGATTATAAAAAGATTGAAGGTAATGGAAGATGAAGGGATTAGATGGAGGTTGTGTAGAATCGTTGAAGCAACGAATGGAATTGGGGTGATTTCGGTGAACAGTGGGTTAGCATGTTAGTTAAGGTGAGGGGAGTTGATGAAGATGGAATCGAGGAGTAGATGGTGGTGATGGAGCGGTTGTGGGTATCCAGTGTGTGACAGTTGGAGGGGAATATGATTAGAACAGCGCCGAAGAGGGGTATGAAGAAGAAGATTGGGTTATGTGGGTTAATGGTGGTTCTTCCGAAAGGTGAGCGAATGAAGTATTGTTCACAGGTTGAGTATCACGGCGAGTTGTTGACGAGGAATAATATTAACACATTAAAATAAATTATTGGTCTAAAAAATTAATAAAAAATTATTAAAATGATCAAAATCAAAATAAAATAAAAATAAAAACTCGATTGCAAAATGTTGAAGATTAAGAATAA